CAGTTCAATTAGCCAATAGGACGATTCTAATGACATATTTAGCCCACCTATTGTTATAAATAAAACTAAATCTAAGTCAATGCGATTGACAGTATCACTAGCGAGTCCGAAAATTGAGCTTTATTAAAAGGGACTATCAAGGACGCTGAATTATGAAAGTGACAGTACGTTACACAAATCAAAAATAAGAGTTGGGAGGGATATTGAGTGGGCGTGGCCAAAATGTATGTTTGGTTGCATCGCAGCGCATACACAATGGCTGCTGGAAAGAGGGGAAAGCAAACAATTTTCAGGCCCGCCGCGTCTAGCAAAAAATATGATAAAAAAATTGTTAAAAATTCGGAAAATAGTTGAAAGTCAAGAAAAACTCAGCAGAAAGGATGTTAAAGCTCCTGGGGTGAGTTTGGCGTGATTTAAGTAAATTGTTACGGGGTTCTTGAATTAAAATATCGGGGTTATTCAAATTATGAGAGAGGGGTGAGCTGGGGGGGGGGGGAGTTTGGTTAATCAGCACCCAGTTTGGGACCTCAGAGGAAACCAAAGGAAGACATAGCTTAAATATTAAGAAAAGTTATATAAATTGTGTCATTAGTGCTAGTCATGACTACGTTGCATGCTAATGAATGTCAACAACGATTAAATAGTTGAGTTGAGTAAAGTTTTAAAAAGCTTTGCCATTTTGGTTAGTTTTATTTATTCTTCTGAATATATCATCAACAGTGCTGCGAGCACAGCCGACGGGAACACACGCGCACTTAGCCTATATCAACATTATAACAAATGCATACTGTGCGCATTCCGTTTTTATTTTACTCACATGTACACCTGAAACCACTGTAAACATACCCTGATCGATAGAAGCATATTTGTATCGCTGAAACATGCATTAAACACGAAATGTAATATGTGTATTGCGATTGAATTATCTCTGTATTAACTATGTTTTCATCCAGAATGTATAGACCAAACGCGTATTTGACTAAAATCTGAGATGACAGTGCAACTTTGAGTTAGTTTACATAGACAAGTATCGAAGAGAAGAAGTTGCTTGTCAATACCATAAACAACCAAAATGGAGGGAGAACTGCGGGCAAACTAATTAGGAGATGCTAAACATTTTATTGTTTATGTCCGTCTATTTTGTACAGAAAGAGTTATACTAAGCCATTTCGCTGTACTTGTGCACGTGACATTTAAACGTGTTTAACAACAGGCGTTGGATGCTGTTACGCTGCTCTGCTGTGTTATCATATAAAAATCACGTCCCATTGACTTTGATTCGACTATTTAAAATGTTTATATTTGCAGGTTGCTTATATATCATATTCAGATTGGACATGATGATTAGTAGCATTGCATGTATAATGCACTGATACAGTAGGCTACCTGTTTTTTGTGTCATGTAGAAAACTATTCCCAGGTTATTGTTAGCCATAGCAATTAGCCCCTGCTATCTGAATGTTGCTTCTCATGGCTATAGGATGCACGAGGAGCCCATAGCAACATGGCAAAACCTGTAGCCTACAAGTGAACTCGAGATGGGTTCACACACAGCTGTTTGGCTTGGGGTTTAGTCATGTCTGTTTTGGGAAGGTTTCTTTTGAATGGCACAGTTGCGCTATGGATATCATATTGTGCATGTTCAGCCAATATGTTGACGTTGTCTTCTATGTAATAAATATTTGGCTCATATGGTGAATGGCAAGATGTGTAAACCCTGCTTTTGAAGTGGATGCTTTGCTTTGCTAAATTGGTTTTCTCACATGGAGAAAACGTTTTCAATTAAAGAGAGGCTTTCCCTTGCCTTTCGTTTCATCGTTTATAAACCGGTTTGATCGTCATTTATATAATGCATATAGATGCTGGCATGCAGCAACAACAAAAAACGTTTAATTAAATGCTAAATATAGTTTTACGTAATGTCACAGTGTGTGCAAATCATTGCATTCTTATTATCTGAGTTAGGCTACCTGTGGTCCACATATTTTACCTATCATAATGTAATAACTTGACTATATGCATGGAGTTTTTGGTTTATTGTATTGTATTAAATATAAGCCTTTTGTTTGTCTTTGATTTGATATAATTTATAATATAATAATTATAATAATATAATATAATAATATAATTTAATAAAGTTTGTATTTTAGAAGACTTTGCACCAGATGATGAGAAAAAAAAGTAACTTTGTTTCTCTGACATTCATTATGTGGAATTGAGACAAATCACTTGTTTTCATGCAACATATATCTTAGATGGTGAGATAAGTTACATTAAACAAATTAGGTTACATTTTCTTGTTGCTGTAAGGTAGAATCAAATCTTCAATTGGCTCCAAAGTTGTGATATTGATAGAGCATTTGACATACTTAATATCTTTACATTATTGATGTAATGTCTATTTCATCTGCTCAAATCAGAAGACATGCTATTGACCTAAAAAATACACATTTTAATTTACCTATTCCAGTGAGCCAGTATATTTTTGAATCCTGTCAAGGCAGATGGCCTCTGTTGATGTGCTTTAAATTGGAGTACTCAATTGGGGCTTGAGCTCCACTTGTCTCTCTGAGATTATGTATTTTCTGATTTTTTTTCAGTGTATGAATATTGAGAGAATGGTGTCAGAAATATTAGTACAACCCAATGATTCAGTTCTACATAGTTTACTTTTTTTGGGGGGGGGCATTTAGCAGACGCTCTTATCCAGAGCGACTTACAGGAGCAATTAGGGTTAAGTGCCTTGCTCAAGGGCACATCAACAGATTTTTCACCTAGTCGGCGATTAGAACCAGCGACCTTTCGGTTACTAACACACCGCTCTTAACCACTAAGCTACCTGCCGCCCTTATCTAATGTCAATGGTCTAATATGTCTATAAAGTAATGTTCTTAGACAGATATTGAGAAAGAGAAAAAAAGTATGTTTAATGTTACATTAAGAAAGAGGTTTAGTCTTAATAAGAAGCATGGTAATTTAGAGATGATTTGCCAACCTCATTATCACAAAACTTATCGGAGACAGAACACTAACTTCTAATCAATCAAAACATCTTCAGACACTAAAATATGTAAACCCTGTTGAAATTCTAAATACCTGTTTTTAAGTGCTTTAATTTGGCCGTTTTTAGACGTGCATTGTGAATACAGATCACCAGAAAGGGTTATGATAATCATTTGATTAATCAGAAAGGGTTATTTTTGATTTCATAACATTTTAAAGATGTTAACGGCTGTGGTCCTCTGTAGCTCAGCTGGTAGAGCACGGCGCTTGTAACACCAAGGTAGTGGGTTTGATCCCCGGGACCACCCATACACAAAAATGTATGCACACATGACTGTAAGTCGCTTTGGATAAAAGCGTCTGCTAAATGGCATATTATTAGAACACCTCCATTATTTTTCACTAACATTCTAATACATTTTTATGAATTATGCATCTATGACTAATTGTATCACAACCATTGTATTTTGTTGTTGGTTAATGAATAGAACTGTCTTTTTTCAGCATGATTTGCTCACCACATCTTTAATTGTATAAGACTGCTCTGATTGTTCATCCTACAAATATGGGTTAAAATGTGCAGCCTCACAGGTCCTCAACTGGCAGCTTCATTAAATAGTACCCGCAAAACACCGGTCTCAACATCAACAGTGAAGAGGCGACTCCGGGATGCTGACCTTCTAGGCAGAGTTGCAAAGGAAAAGCCATATCTCAGACTGGCCAATAAAAAGAAAAGATTAAGATGGGCAGTCTGAGATATGGCTTTTCTTTGCAACTCTGCCTAGAAGGTCAGCATCCCGGAGACGCCTCTTCACTGTTGACTTTGAGACTGGTGTTTTGCGGGTACTATTTAATGAAGCTGCCAGTTGAGGACCTGTGAGGCGCCTGTTTCTCAAACTAGACATTCTAATGTATTTATCCTCTTGCTCAGTTGTGCACTGGGGCCTCCCACTCCTCTTTCTATTCTGGTTAGAACCAGTTTGCGCTATTCTGTGAAAGGAGTAGTACACAGCGTTGTACGAGATCTTCAGTTTCTTGGCAATTGCTCGCATGGAATAGCCTTCATTTCTCAGAACAAGAATAGACTGACGAGTTTCAGAAGAAAGTTCTTTGTTTCTGGCCATTTTGATCCTGTAATCGAACCCACAATTGCTGATGCTCCAGAAACTCAACTAGTCTCAAGAAGGCCAGTTTTATTGCTTCTTTAATCAGCACAACAGTTTTCAGCTGTGCTAACATAATTGCAAAAGGGTTTTCTAATGTTCAATTAGCCTTTTAAAATAATAAACTTGGATTAGCAAACACAACGTGCCATTGGAACACAGGACTGATGGTTCCTGATAATGGGCCTCTGTACGCCTATGTAGATTTTTTTTTTTTTTTAATCAGCCGTTTCCAGCTACAATAGCCATTTACAACATTAACAATGTCTACACTGTATTTCTGATCAATTTTATGTTCTTTTAATGGACAAATTGCTTTTCTTTCGAAAACAAGGCCATTTCTAAGTGACCCCAAACTTTTGAACGGTAGTGTACATCTCTCTACTTTCATTGAATTTGATATACCTTCAGCCTCATCTGTGAAATATTTGGAAACTGGAAATAATACAAATAACAAATGTATTCCCCTACTTGTAGAATGCTATGGAATTGCAGTAGAACTTCTTACACTTTTCCCCTGTAGCTCAGTTGGTAGAGCATGGCGCTTGCAACGCCAGGGTTGTGGGTTCGTTTCCCACGGGGGGCCAGTATGAAAATGTATGCACTCACTAACTGTAAGTTGCTCTGGATAAGAGCGTCTGCTAAATGACTAAAAAGTAAATGTAACATTGACCTTTCTCTCTCTCACTCTCTCTCTCACACACACACACACACATCATCAGGCCCCTGAGTCCTGGCGGTGTTGAGCACATAAAACTGGATAGAGAACAAGCGTCGTCGACACTAGGTGGGATCCGCGTCCCTGTCCAGCCAGCCGCGCTGCCCTAGGGTGCCATGGCCACGGGAACCCAGGGGCACCTTGACCACATTCCAGATAAAGCCAGGCTCGCGGAGGCCACAGGGAGGTGCAAGAGAGCGGAAGGGAGCAAGCCCAGGAAGAACTTTCCCTGTCAGCTGTGTGAGAAGGCCTTCAACAGCGTGGAGAAACTAAAGGTGCACTCGTACTCACACACGGGAGATAGACCGTACCGGTGCTCCCACCAGGACTGCACCAAAGCCTTTGTCTCCAAATACAAGCTGCTACGGTAACAGAACAGGCGCCCGTTATCTTCTAGTAGGCCATTCTGTATTGATCTGTATGTACAACACTTACTGTAATATGTAGTTGTTATCTTTAGTAGTCTATCATTGTATACATTCATGGATTATTGAAGTTTTAAGATCATACATATCTGTCCTGACTAGCATGCCTACATAAGCACTAGGGCTGTGACGATACCAGTATCTCAATATTTTTTCCATGGCAATAATGAAAACATGAAGCAGATCAAACTCTTTGGTCCTTTAAAAACCTGCTGTAAAATATTGTGTGCTATAGCTTGGACATTTTTTTTATGTGACTCTGGAGGACTACATAATGATGTTTGTTTCCAACATTAGGGCTGTTTTCCTAAAGAAGTGAATACCGCTTCGTGTTTTGTTTCCTTGCCACGATACTGACGAGTATCGCGATACTGGTATCGTCCTGGCCCTAATAAGCAGAAATAATTATTGGTGAAATATTAAGTGTTGATTGAATGTCATCTGTGTTCAAAGGCATATGGCGACACACTCTCCGGAGAAAACCCACAAGTGTACGTACTGTGAGAAAATGTTCCACCGCAAGGATCACTTAAAGAACCACCTGCACACTCACGACCCCAACAAGGAGGCCTTCGCCTGCCAGGAATGCAGCAAGAGCTACAACACCAAGCTGGGCTTCAAGCGCCACCTGGCCCTGCATGCGGCCAACAGCGGAGACCTCACCTGCCAGGTGTGCCTGCAGCCATTCGCAAACACAGGCCTGCTCCTGGAGCACCTCAAGACCCACGCCGGCAAGTCCTCGGCTGGCACCAAAGAGAAGAAGCACAGGTGCGAGCATTGCGAGCGCCGCTTCATCACACGCAAGGACGTGCGGCGCCACATGGTGGTGCACACAGGCCGCAAGGACTTCCTGTGCCAGTACTGCGCCCAGAGATTCGGCCGGAAGGACCACCTGACGCGCCATGTGAAAAAGAGCCACGCCCGCGAGCTGCTGAGGGTCAAGATGGAGCCGGACGATTCGCTGGACTCCTCCTTCTCCTGCGGGATGGCTGGAGGTGTCAAGGGCGAGCTGGCCACCATGTCGGCGCCGCACAGGCAGCTCCAGCTCAACCTCTACGACGGCCCTCTCCTGCCCCAGCACCACTGCCCCACCATGCCCCCCCTGGACATAGAGCCCAATACCCCACACCCCTTCTCCCTAAAGTACCAGCTGGGCTCCAACCTTACCTCATACTCCATCTCCACCCTGGAGAGGGAGCAGAATCTAAAGGGAGAACTGGAGACGTATCTGATGGAACTGCAGAGCGGCATGCCTTCCTGGGCTGAGGGGGCTCAGCTATCCTCCGCCTCCAAACTGGAGTTGGACTCACAGGTGGTCTCGTTGGATGAGACCTCGCCCGACGAGGTGTCTCTGTCCAAAATCGTGGCAGTGAGCGAGTCGCTGGCCTCCTCGTCGTTGCTCGACTTCTCACAGCTCTTCAACTTCCTGCCTTTGAATGGCCCCCCGTATGGGCACCAGGCGGCAGCCGGCGGGGGTTTAGGAAGAGTCCCCTACCAGCCAGAGGAGGCGCTGTCTGTCGTCCAGCTGCCGCCCCAGCCCCCGGATTCCCACGAGGCAGCGGGAAGCGGGGGGGGTATCAGCCCCCTCCACAGCCACTCCTCCTCTTATACCTCAAACCTGAGTACAACAACCACGCTGCCCCGCTTCCACCAGGCCTTCCAGTGACATGACAACACAAAAACAGACACGCATACCCATTACCCATGCATGCACACACTTACACACATACAGTACACACACACACACACAGGTTGATAAAAAAAAAGAAGCTAATTTCTATTTTTATGGCAGTAACACATTTTTGAATGTGTCTGCACAAAACTACGCCATAATTGCACTTCTGTTCAACAATTATGGGATTCTTTAAATACAGATATACAAGTGGTTTGGCTCAACCACGTAGCTCAAGCCATGGGATAATGGTTGACATTTCATTTGGTTAGTGTCAACAATGCTATATCACTTGCAAATTTACCATTATAATGCTGATGACCGACATAGTCCATTTTAGTACACACAACAACATCCAAACATAACTAGGGTTTTGGAGTTTTCCATAGATTCATTTATGTAGGAATGGGATTGCAGTGATGTATTTCTATCTTAAACCCCCTTGCCTTGGAATAGCTTTAACTTAGTGTGTCGATTTAACCATATTTTCATATAGCACTTTGTACTTTTGTGTGATGTTCAATGTCATCACCGCTAACTGTTTTAAAATGTCTTTGTTATCTGTTTTTGTTTTAGGATTTCAAGCAATTGCAGTCATACGTTTTTAGACATAAGGTACTGAAAAAGCCCCTTATGGAAGGTAGTGTGAGAACCATCCCTGTTCCCCCATCAAAACCAAAGTCAACCAAATATGAACTGAATTGCCAGGCAGAATAGTGTCATGCTGTCGCTGATGGTTGTAAACGTTGCTGCTGCATAGTTGTTCCCTTATAGACACTTGGAATAACTCAGCTAGAAGTAGACTAAGTTGTTCTTCCTCATTTCATTTGATTTCATATAAAAGGTGACAAGATAATATAACTTTTTAAGGCAAGAGTATTAACATAGGTCCGGTACCATTTCAGCACCTAGGCTCTTGCTGCTACCTACCCCTTTGTTTTATGGACTGGATTGGAAAGCAAAATTGCAAAAGCTCCACTTGGATTGAGCTTGTTGAGCCATCATCTATGCTTCCACCTATCCAGTCCTTTCATAACTGTCGTTATCGAAGGCCAGGAGCTAGTGGAAGGGACTAAGGACCGAAATGGAACCAGACAGTAGAAACAACAATAAAGAACTGCCACATAACTGGGGTTAATACCGGATATGAGGTTAGAAATAGTTTGGGGAACTATAACCCAATCATGCATACAATAATGGTTGCAATATTTCAACAGCAGGAAACAGTGAATTTGAGCCACCAGTTACAAAGAAAAATATATCCAATGTGCAGTTTGAATGAAAATATATCCAGTGTGCTGGATGGGTGTCTGTCACAGGTGGCTAGTGGCACCTTAATTGGTGAGGACTGGCTCATAGTAATGGCTGGAGCTGAATAAATGGAATGGTATCCATTTTATTCACTCCATTCAAGACAGTATTATGAGCCTTACTCCCCTCACCAGCCTCCTGTGGGATCTGTAAACATATCTGGACACCTTGAATGTGTATGTGCAGGTTTGTGTGAGCCTACATCACGTGTTTGTGTTTCCAGTCAAGGGCTATTAAGTGATTGCAGAAGAGAGGACCCTCACATAGACAATCTGGGAGACTATAGAGGGCTCAGAACAGAACAGTCTGTTACAACTCCTCAAGGGGGTGGGATGGATTAGTCATGTCTGAATGTGTGAAGGGGATATTTTTCCCTCACATATGCAGACATTCAGAGAAATGAATGCAAAAGCACTTTTAATGTCATATGTGACACGTTGTTCATTTACTCAGAGCGAAGTGATGTCCGAACTTTGCATTTCAAGTCAGGATCCAGTAATCCAAGATTATTTTCAAGGCCCATAATAATACAATGACAATATTTTGGTTTTTATTTTGTGACAATGACATACGCTTGCATCCGTATGACATAAGCTATCTTTAGAGTTTAAACTACAAAAGTTGTCAGTTTGTCAGGTGAAGACAGAACAAACATTTTATTAACAGGTAGTGAATGTAAATACAATATTACAGCCAGCCAGGAATGACATTGCTCTTGTTATACTGTACCATTCACAAATAAGGATCCCTCAAATATAAGTATATCGACCAATGGCAGCCAGCATATCAATCGTCCTCTGCTCAGTACAGAAAATGCTTCCCCACAAATGTGGTTTCAATAAGACCGATACATAGCTACTTTAGCTTACCGGTCCCTGAAGTAGCCAATTAGCACCAACTTAGATAGCAGTTGTTTTGACATTGTAGGTTTAGATAAAGTGCTGGATTGCACACCTCTGCATGATATGATCTCGGCTTGAGTTCATACTCGGCTGCCATGGTTGAAGAGTGATTCTGAGGGATTTGGTTTTTAGTGGCTCAGAATGATCTTGTCAATTTTGTACGTTGTGTTGCATAGTGCTGTATGATATACAGTAGAAACTAGCAATGATGAAATATGGATGACAGTGAGAGGACATGCCTATATTATTGCCAGTATGAGTTCAAGACTGTCTTTGGTCAGAGACAGGGTTTGTGTTAGTATACTTTCATAGTGTATGTAATGGAACAGTTTCTCACTTGAACTGCAAAAGTAAAAACTAGACATGGTTGGTCTGTTCAAGAAGTGACATTCCCAGAATTGTCTCTGTGCGAGATGCTGTAACACTGTGCTGAGAGACACTGACCCTGCTGCCGTCAAACTGTTCCTGAACAGCTATGTTAGTCAGATGAAACGGCTTAGGTCACTGCCAGAATAATGTCAGTCTTTAGGAACTTGTGTACTTGGCACTGTGTGTGTGACTGTAAATGTGTGCGTGCGTGTGCATCTGCAAATCTAAACGCCTTTGTCTTCTGCTTTGCTCAATGATAGCGTATGGCTCACAGAGAATACATTTTTTTGTTACAACTGAGATCTAAGTATCTAGATCGATTCAAACCCATCACTGAAGGAATTATATTGATACCCCTGGGATGTAATGCTATGGTGATAGAGAAGGTTGGCTTCAGATGAAAGTCAACCTTTGCCTTTAATGGATATCTAGTATTTTGTACCCTTCTTCGAGAAGTGCCATTTATAAGTGTATTTGCCTCACTCAAAGGGAGATGGTCTGAAAATGAGGACCTCACACACAACTTTCAACCTCGTTCATTTCAGTACAGCAGGGCTGATTACAAGCAAGCAATCTGTGCCTGTAGCGTTTTGATTCATAGTAGCGACATACTGCATATCCAGTTTAATTCATCAAGTTGTACTATTTCATTCTCACATGTAAACCATAAATCAGTTTTATACATAGATCCCATTGAAGTAGTTTAAATATTATATGAAAAACATTTGTCTTAGTTTATTAACTATTTTGATATAATTCAAGTACATTTTTATAATAAAAAAACACTAAATTATCACGTAGACCAACTCTATGTTCATGTATATTGATTTGATTGATCATAATGAATGAAAAAGTACAGTAGCTGGTTCTGTTCAGTGAGGTCCACTTTAGGTTGTAACTTCAGCTTTAGCTCCAACTTGTATGTTTAAAAAAAGACTGTGCTCAGTTTAGTGACTGTACAATTGGTATAAAGTGTTTGCTTTAACTCATTCATTTAACATAACACAGACTGTCTAGCAGTGTTTTCCCTTGGAGCAAAAAATGACCTCATTGTTTTATTCTGTTAAAAATAATCATTAAGGCAAAACACTGCTTTGAATCCCCCCTGTTCCTTAAAAATGTATTGACTGAAAACAATATCACTTTAGTAAGGGCCACGTGATGTCATTCAAAGGGGAAGCTGAATGTCTGTTTTCAAGTGTTATGGAGGTGTGTGCTGTCAGTGTATCTTGAAGATTTGTGGTTTTACATAAAATGTTTGATAAGACAGATTTTATTTTAATCTTAGCACTTTTGGAAAATGGATTGCCTTTGTTTCCTCCAGTCTTTATTACAAACAGTATAGATGTCATAATTAGCTCGTTAGAGAAAGTTAACGTGTAAATACAATATTAAATGTTTTATTTTTACAGGTACAGTTTTTACAGTGTTTTACTATCAAAATGTAATTTTTGCTTTACTTGCACAAATGTTCCGTGTGTCTCATTGAGGGGTCTATCTGTCAGATAGTAAAGACTATTTTCACATCATTGCAGTCATTTTAGATATGCCAAATTCTTTAGCATCTATATCTACGCTGACAGTTTGTTTGACTTTTATACAACGGGTGGGTCTAATCCTGGATGCTGATTGGTTAAAAGCGCATTCCAGCCGGTGTCTATTCCACAAGTTACCACCGGCTGAAACTATGACGTTGAAATGCCTATTTACTCTGTTCCATCTCACTGCGCAATCCACTGTCTAATCAGCCCACCCAGGCAATTTATAAACTTGATCTCCACTATGAAAAGCATCTAGACATTATCTCCCATTTATTTTAGACTAGCATTTGATTTTCAACAGCTGAGATTTGTATAAACCTTGCTGTCTGTCTCTCTGACATTTGCAACATTGTTTCAATATTGAAATTAAATCTCCAGCTGTCCCATAGTAATGAACGTGGCAGGAGTCGAGATGAGAAAGACAGGCAGGCAGCGTTTCTCAGCCAGTCAAAATCATGAATCAGCTGGCATCATTTTTATGGATATATACAAAGCAATGTCAATAGAAACAGGTAAAACCAAATGAAATGCAGCTAGTTTGCTGTCTTTCCAGCTTCAGTTTGAAGTGATTGTGTTAGCTGTGTTGTTGGCTAGCTCCTCTGAATAACAGTGTCCTGATGAGAGAGGACATTTTCTATGCCAGGCAAAATCGTGCATCTTTAGCTCATTGTTATGGATGTATCCAAATAAATGTCACTAGAAAACAGCTTAAACAAACGCAAATGCAGCTACTTTGCTGTTATTCTGGCTGCACTGTTTGATGTGACTGTAAGTTAGACGTAGTTGGCTAGCTAGCAAGCAAGGGATAAGAACGTTGTCAGCCAAA